TTTGATGTAGATTCATCGCATCTCAGGAATAGCAGCGAACTATATTGGCAAGCCACTAAATAGTTCGGGTGCTTCTCCCTCTTCTCATGTTGTGGGCCCAAACTAATTAGTCTCGAAAATCGAAACTTATAGGCCCCTAAATAGACCAGCCCGCATGGATCGTGGGCTTTGGAGGGGCGGAACAACCTGACTGTGATGCGTATTGTGTTTAATATTATAGGATTATCTAGTAATTGATTAATGAATATGAACCGTTGAATTATGATTTATATTTGTCATTGGATTAAAAAATTACACTATTTTTTAGTTTGTGAGAATGATATATATATTTGGTTTTATTTTGAGTGTTTGTAAATATTTAACAAAAAAATATATAGTGAAATATTTATAGATTGATTTGTTGCTCTTTTACTTGTTTACTCCATTTTAGAAGATATTCAAAATAAAATCATAATTAAAGACAGATGTGTTTATAAATAATTTTCTCCATGTTACAATACGCAGAATTGTAATTGTATTGTTAAGGACAAATGTGTTCATGAATTCGAACAGGTCGTAAGTCTAATACGGACGAAGCAAAAGTCACAATTATTAGAATAATTTATTAAATTCATTAAAGATGGTTATTGTAATTTCACATTGTAAAGTTGATTAAAAGAAAAAAAAACATCTTCACTATTTTTTTTTATGAAATTAATATTTTTACTATGTTTTTTTTTAAACAAAAACACCCAGCGGGGCAGGGAAATTGAGACTGGATCCCCAACTTGTATATAGTCACGACCCTAGATGGACTACAAAAGTCACGGCCCTAAATGGGCTACAAAAGTTTTAGGGCCACAAAAGTCACAACCTTAGATGGGCCAAAAAGTGACATGTTTACATCTTCAGTATTCAACGACACACTATTTCCCAATGAATGCACAAAACATACAACCAAATCATCCCAGGACTCGAAACACAATTACAAAACACACCAATTAATCAAACAAACAACCAAATGCAATAAAAGGAAATGAAAAATAGATCAAATTCCACACAATCCAAGTCCCAACCAATAAATTAGTTAGCAACAGAACAAACCCTTCTGATTTGGCCAGTAGTCCCCGTGAGGACCCCAATTTTGCCCATCTTCACCATTGACTCGGCAAAATCCGCGAAGAAACTCGGGTCACCAGATGACGTCATGTGCTGCTGCACGTACGCTCTCGTCTCGTCGTTCTTCAGAAGCTCAGCATCGGTGGTGAAAAGCCCCCGTCTCTTCTTCACTATCGAGAAATAGTCCGTGTCGAAATTGATGAAGCTGCCGGGGTCCATCTGCACTATGGTGGTCGTGTCCGTAGGGGAGCACCGCCTCTTGAGTGCCGCCACGTAGTTCGGGTCCATGCTTGGGTCCGCGTCGTTCCTTCCCGTGAAGTTGTACAGTCGGTTCGTGAAACTCGAGCAGTGCGAAACCCCGATCGTGTGTCCACCTGTCCACCAAATTTCAATTTTTTTTTAATTACTATTATTTTCGGGTTAATTAATCAAAAAACAAACGAAAAAAAATAAAAAAATAAAAACCTGCTGTTATAACTATATTCATGAATTTATTCACCTGAGAGGACAGCGAGGTCCTTGACGCTTAAACCCTTGCCCGCGAAATTGGAAATGAGTTGGCTAATATTGAAGAATGGAGGCGGAAGATTCGCTAGCACCTCATTCGCAATCGATACACTTCCATCTCGTCTGCCCAAAGGAACTTCCCAAAATGGTCCCTTTATCTGTAACAACAAAATTAATATGGACTTTTTTATGACTAAATTCTAGTAATTCACTATTTTTTTTCAAGCTTATATATATATATAGGGAAATGGAGCCTTTTTACTTTTTTTTGCATGATCATCTATTAAGTTTATGTATTGTTTTCTTAAAAATAAATATTTAGTGATCACCTGTGAAACTGCATCACGAGCAACTAATGCCAGGATATCGGCACAAGAAACTTTTCCGGGACAATACTTCTCCAATGCAGCTTTTGCAGCATCAACGACTTGAAACCCTCTAAGGCTAAGGTTCGGAAATGAGTCCCTCTCGGCCGTGTTATTGGCTGTTGAGTTTAGAAGTACGGATCCATCACAACCCTGCCACAATTTATATTGTTGGTTAAAGATTTTACTACACTGAAAAAAGTACACAACATGAAAAAATTAAAACTAAGCAAGGCTTATATTACATTATTACACTAACAAAACAATCATGGAAATGCATCCTAAGTAAAGCCGGTGCAAGTGATGGCGCTCGGGAAATGAATCTTGCGGTTGTTTGTTTCACGATAGCACCAACATTCGGACACGTTGAGTCATAGAAATTGGTCGACAGGCCTTGGGCTCTGGCCCGATGAACGAAAACGAGCGCGAATAAGCAAAGAGCAAATAGCTTCTGAGTTGCCATAATATTGTTAATTAATTACTACTAATAAAAGGGTATGGATTGACTAAGTTTAATTTGTGCTATATGTCCTAATGGGGAGACGACAGGCTCTTTAAATTTAGGCTGCTCTGTGGGAATATTTGTGCTTTGCAAATTGGTTGGGTTGACTTTTGAAAATTAAATCTCAGCTTGCAGTTATATTGTTGTTATAATTAATCTATCATTGGTTTGGTATGTTTGTATGATTAAGTTTTAGGGATAATTAATGATTGAGTTTCACTAATACAATAGCTCTTAAAGATGATTCTGAAGACTAAATCATCACCAAACATGTTTTATTTTTCTATCACTATATGCGCCCATGTCTTCAATGGACGCTGGCTGCCAGTGCTTTGGCCATGGTCAACGCTAGCTAGGCCTATGGGATTATAAAAGAATAAATGCAAGATGGAAATAAATTAAATATAAAGAGACTGGATTACATATGAGTCTGGGGATGCTTAAGATCAAAAGTCGGGCGGTCCATCACACCGTTGGATTAATGGTTAAATTTTGGATATGGATTGAGTTATTTTATATACAAACACACCATTCCAGTTCAAATCAAGTAATCCAAGCTCTATTCAACGAGATGACAGATGTGGGTATGTCTTCTTAATCCCTCGACAAGTTATGCATGCATGTGTTCTTATTAAATTTCTGATCAACTTTTAATTTTTTTCTGAAAATATTGATCAAGTTTTGTTTTTTTTTAATACTTAACTACTATTGGTTAGTGTAGTTGAATTTCGAATAATAATATTTTTTATACTTCCTATAGTTACTGGTCAATTTTTAATCTTTTCCCCATAACTAACATCCACCCTGGCATTACCAATCAAAAATTATGGTGATGATTCATAATAATCTTCACGCGTTAACGTTGTTTATGTTAGTGATACCCAATCAACTATTCGCAAAAATTAACAATACATAATACGTACCAAACTAAGCATAGGCAACAATCAATTATCACAAGCAGGGGATTTAATTATGAAAAGTCAACCCAATAATCATTTTGCAAAACACAAATGTTCCCTATAGAGCTCAACTCGTGCAAGAAACCAACTCACTATTTAAAGAGTCTATCATCTCCCTAGAAGGACACAGCCCAAATTAAACTTAGCCAATTTATCTGCTTTGTGAAGTGAGTAATTAATTAACAATATTATGGCAACTCAGAAGCTATTTGTTCTTTGCTTATTCATGTTCATTTTCGTTCATCGGGTGGCGGCCCAAAGCCTGTCGACCAATTTCTACTACAAAACGTGTCCGAATGTTGGGGCTATCGTGAAACAAACGACCGCAAGATTCATTTCTCGAGCGCCATCACTTGCGCCGGCTTTACTTAGAATGCATTTCCATGATTGTTTTGTTAGGGTAATATAAGCCTTGGTTTTTTTGTTTTTTTTTTTTCTTTTTTCTTTTTAAGTATAGTAAATCCTTAACCAACTTGTAACAACTATATATTGATTGTGGCAGGGTTGTGATGGGTCAGTACTTATAAACTCCACGGCCAACAACACAGCCGAGAGGGACTCTTTTCCGAACCTTAGCCTTAGAGGGTTTCAAGTTGTAGATGCTGCAAAATCTGCAGTCGAGAAATATTGTCCCGGAAAAGTTTCTTGCGCTGATATCCTGGCATTAGTTGCTCGTGATGCAGTTTCACAGGTGATTACGGAATGTCATGTTTTTAGAAAATAATACGTAAACTTATTAGATGACCGTGCAAAAAAGTAAAGAAATGAGTACAATCCCGTCACGAAATGATTCTGTGAGTTTGTTTTAACTATAGATTATCTATATATCCTACAATAATCTACATGTATATCTAAAGACTAATAATAACCACAGAATGATTCGGTGACGAGTCTGTAGGTGATGATTCCCAAAAGTAAAAGGCTCTTAAAAAACTAGTGAATTCTAGTCACTTGAGTCATCAAAAAGTCAATATTAATTTTCTTGCTACAGATAAAGGGACCATTTTGGGAAGTTCCTTTGGGCCGACGAGATGGAACTGTATCGATTGCGAATGAGGTGCTAGCGAATCTTCCACCTCCTTTCTTCAACATCACTCAACTCATTTCCAATTTCGCTTCAAAGGGTTTAACCGTCAAGGACCTCGTTGTCCTCTCAGGTGAATAAATTCATGAATATAAAAAACAACATATTTTTTTTTTTTAATTTTTTCTTCGTTTGTTTGTGATTAATTAACCCCAAAATATTAGTAAAAAAAATAATGAAATTTGGTGGACAGGTGGACACACAATCGGGGTTTCGCACTGCTCGAGTTTCACGAACCGACTGTACAACTTCACGGGAAGGAACGACGCGGACCCAAGCATGGACCCGAACTACGTGGCGGCACTCAAGAGGCGGTGCTCCCCTACGGACACGACCACCATAGTACAGATGGACCCCGGCAGCTTCATCGATTTCGACACGGACTACTTCTCGATAGTGAAGAAGAGACGGGGGCTTTTCACCACCGATGCTGAGCTTCTGAAGAATGACGAGACGAGGGCGTACGTGCAGCAGCACATGACGTCATCTGGTGACCCGAGTTTCTTCGCGGATTTTGCGGAGTCAATGGTGAAGATGGGCAAAATTGGGGTTCTCACAGGGACTGCTGGCCAAATCAGAAGGGTCTGCTCTGTGGTTAATTAGTTGGGATTCTGTAATATAATTTGTCTCTTTTTTTTTTTTTACCTATTTCTCATTTTCCTTCAATTGTGTTTGGTTGTTGTATGATTCCTGTATTTTGTTTCGCATTTGTTTCTCAAATTAAATATTGGGGTTGATTGGGTCGTTCGTGCATTCTTTCTTATTATATATAAATTAAAATTCTGGATATGATAAGAATTTATATATATTAATAATAAATATAATATATATATTTTTTTTCTGGAAATTATAAGACTTATATTAATAATTACTACAATTGCCAATCCCCTCTATATATAATTTCAGAATGTGCTGAGCCTACGTGGCAAATTCTCATGCTTCGAAATCCTATTTGGCAAAAAACCATGCTTTGGAGTTAGGCTTGGATATAAATTAATATTTTTTCATTTTCTTATATAATTTATTCATTAGTTTTTATAAATATTTCTTCTTCTTATTTTAAGATCTTGTAACTTTTTTGTTTGTATTTTATTTTTCATATATGATATATCAAATTAACTATCTTTTAACGATTTTCGATTTGACATCCATATTATACATATAAAATACAAAACAGTAATATATATCCTTATAAATAAAATTTAAATTTATTTTATCAAACTAAATTAAATTATATCGAATAAAACTATAAATTATATTATAAAGTAATAGAAATTGGTATGTATTCTTTTAAAAATGATATTTATTTCAAATCTAATTGGTATGTTGTCAATCTAATAAAAATAAATAATTGTTTATCTAAATTCTAAAATACATATAAAGTTAAAAAACTGTGAAGGACGACTGATACGACACTTGATGTATTAGACATCTAATTAAGTAAAAAAATAATCCATTTTGCTTAATATTAATTAAATATATTTTACACTTATGCATATACATATCACCATATTATTTCTATTTATTTAAGTTATATATTTTTGTAGTACTTTGTAATAGTCAATAATATCGAGATTTTTATATGATATAAGGAAAAAAATTCAACACAGGTTGACATTTTCATTTAATGTAGGGGTGTTTAATTATTATGATTAAAAAAAATATAACTTGACAATTTAATTAAAACCCAAAGTAATGTTTTATATAAAATTAAATTATTTTAGTTTTTTAAAAGAATAAAAAATTAATATTTTTTATAAAAGCTTTCTAATTCAACACCCGTGTATTACACGGGTATTGTACTAGTAGAAACTAATTAGAAACATCGGAATCAATCAACTACTAAGTTGAATCTTGAAAGTCTAATGTGGCATAAAGCTAATAATACAAAAATAAATACAAATTAAATAAAACTACCAAACTCCAACACGAGATTGAAAATTTCAATAAGGGAGTTTCTATAGCGCACAAAGGCGTGCTATAAAAGATTGAGCGATCAAGAGGCAAGCAAAATCCTATTACTCGTAATTCTAGTGAGTTGGTGTATGTGAAGTCCTTGCAGCGTGTGTAAAGTCAGCATCTATAAGACCATCTCCAACCGAATACTCCATACTCAAACTTATTTTCCAGTAATTATCTCATTTTGCAGTAATTCATCTCCAACCGAAAAACTCATTCTCCAACCCAAAAGAATATTCTCGAAATATTCTCTTTTACATCAACTTTTACAACTTTTAAATACTACCCACATATTTTACAATTTTACAAATTAAACCACACAATTATTTTCAATTCAATTTGGACTTTATGTAATAAACTAAGGCCATCTCCAGCCCTTATCTCTACTCTAGCGCGGACTTTACTCTACTCTAGAGTAGAGTTGAACATTCATCTCCAGCCCTTATCTCTACATTTTACTCTACATTACATATATTATTTTTTTATTCATTATAAAAATGAATTGTAATAAATTGAATTTCTTAAAGAAGATACATATACATCTATGTACCGATTCAAAACTGTTACTTTTGTAAATATATGAATTAGTGCAAATTTACACACTAGACCATATATGGTTTAGAGCATAAAAAAACAAAAAATTATTTAGTCATATTATTTGTCAAACTATTTATCACATATTAATATATTACACATTTTGCTCTATCATAAATAATTTTTCAGTATTTTTAAAAAAATATCAACTTTATGCCTACACAAAATATTTATATATATATATAAATATATATTTTGTTCATTATTTTTTATACATTTATATTAAAATTTTATATAAAAAATTTCATTAATGAATTTTTACATACTTATATTATAATTTTATATAGAAAAATAACAATTTATAGACAAACCATAAATTTTGATAAATAAACTAAAACTTCATTTTTGAAAATAGAAGGGCCAAAACACAAATAAAAAAATATTTGCGTATGTGAACTGTACAAACACAAATATGCAGTTTGGAGGAGAGAGAAACGGATCAAAACCCATTTTGGGTTTGCGTTTCGGTACCGGTTGGAGGATTTTTTTGGTGATGCGTTTGGGTTTGAGGTGTGGTTGGAGTTGCTCTAAGGCCGACACCGAACTATAATTATATGGGCAGGTGAAAGCGTATGGGTAGTTTGGGTACTTCGACATTAATGTCCAATGGCACACTCACACGTGTGAACGTTTGCTCATAATATGATATGATACCTCCGGCCTGCCTTACCCCGACATAATGTGGGCTTTTGTTTTGCCAGGTTGCAGACCCGCCTGTTGATAATAATACGTTATATATAAATGCACGTTTGAAGCACGTTATATATAAATGCATGTTTGAAGCATAAAGCATATTAATATTACTTTAATGGACTTCAAACATTTTGTTTTTTTGTAAAGAAGGTGAATATGTTAGTAATGTAAAATGTTCATTTGAAACAAAAAAAAAATAATAACCAGGAAATACTTGCCAATTATCTAAGTAAAATGCTAAATACCACCACTCTATTATTACGTACCGCCCCTTTTAGACCGTTTTGTCCCAGACAGCTTTTTCAAAAAACTCAAAAATTTGAAAATCTCCCGCCGGCCGGCCGGCGAAACCGGCCTCCACAGTGCACGGCCGTAATAAATTGATTTCTTTTTATTTTTTTCACTCTATTGTTCACTTTTGCTTTTGTTGGGTTTGGTTATTGTTTGATTAATTGCTGCATTTCACATACACGCTTTTGTTGGGGTTGGTTATTTTTCATTCATGAAAACCCATCTAAAACCTAATTCCTTTGAATTTTTCGTGAAAATCCATCAAAAAAGTAATTTGTTTGAGTGTGCTTCCGAATGGTTGTTCCAAAAAAGTGAGAGAATTTATTAATAAAATACACTAAAAAATTGTCACGTTCCAACAAAAAATTTAACGGCAATATATATATTTCAATAGAAATTCAAACAGATATTCCAATAGTTGATCTTCCGTTGGAATGATTCTAACGAAAATATTCCGTTAGAATGAGTTTTCCATTGGAATTTTAGATGGAATTTGATGATTCAAATTTCCAACGACCATTTTCTTCAATAGTTAAATTACCTTATGAATTTCGTTGGAATATGCAATTTCTACTGAAATTATTATTTATACTCATATTTCAACCGTTAGAATAGTCAAAATTCAACGAAAATTTCAATGAAAAATTCATTCAGCGGAATAATTTTGTTGGAATTTCCATATGATATATACTATTAAAAATTAATAACGAAAATAATAGCATTTGAATATCTAGAATTGCCGTTGGAATTTCATTGTAAATATATTTTCGTTCGAATTTTTCAGAATTTTATCATTTTTATGTAGTAATAAAGTGTTGGAAATTCCAAACAAGTGATAGCATTGATATATTTATTAAATAAAATTGGTGTTGAACTTAATTTTGTCATTTTCTTTCCGAATAACATGAACAAATAATTATTAAGAGAATGAACAAGGAAAATGGCGTACCGTATAAAATAAAATAGAGAACAAATTAAGAGAATGAAAAATGGTGCCGTATAAAATGACTTCTAAACATTTTACATTGAATATTTTACTCTCCCTTTTTTCTATTCTCCCATCAATTATTAATTTATATTAACATATAATATGATGTAATATAATTTAGCGTATTTTCTAAATTTATATTAATATGTAACATGATTTAATATAATTTTTCATAATTTACATTTTCAAATTTTCATAATATCTATACTTTATCTTAAAATGGGATGTTCACAAAATATTTGTGGTATCACAAATTTTATATTCTTTATATTGATTGTTGAATTGTTTATTAATTTGTTTTATGAGTAACAGTCAAATACACGATGAATTAAATTAAATATATTTACCCGCATAAATATTGAAGACATGGGCACAAGTTATTACAAATCATTGGTACCATGATTAACAACACCCTGTCACACATGTTATAAGTTTATTAGTCAAAAAACGGTTGTTGATAACAATATGATAATTGCATTCACAGATTTAATTATCATAATTAAGTCAACCCAATAACTTTTCCAAACACAAAAATTCCTTACTGATTACTATTTAAAGAGTCCCATCTCCCCATTAGCACACATAACCCAACTTAAAGTCTTTATTGTTAAGCAGTAATTAACAATATATTACTATATGGCAACTCAGAAGCTATTTGTTCTTTGCTTCGCGCTTGTCTTTGTTCTTCGGGCCGGGGCCGAAGACCTGTCGACCCATTTTTATGATACGTCGTGCCCGAATGTTGAGGCTATCGTGCAACAAACGACTGCATTATTCGTTTCTCTCAATCCATCACTTGCTCCGGCTTTGCTTCGGATGCATTTCCATGATTGTTTCGTTAGGGTACGTCTTTCTTAATTCTTTCTTTTTTTCGCGTTTAATCTTTTCTCATGAAAGTGTTGCATATGTTTCGTGTGTTTCAAGACCAAATATAGGCTAAATTTCATTTTTAATTAGTTC